ATAGATAGATAGATAGATAGATAGATAGATAGATAGATAGATAGATAGATAGATAGATAGATAGATAAATAGATAGATATGGATGGATAATTAGATGGATGGATGGATGGATGGATAGATAAATAGGTAGATAGATAGACAGATACAGATAGACAGACAGATGATAGATGGATGGATGGATGGATGGATGGATGGATGGATGGATGGATGGATAGATAGATAGATAGATGACAGACAGGCATTGGGATTTAGCTTATTCAGTTTGTGAGGATTTCTAAAAAAAATTCCACCCCTCAAAATATTTTTCTAGTTCCTCCAGCTAATTAAAAGTAATCAGATGATTCTTTCTCCAAAGGGAAGTGGCTGTTCACCACTTTTATGTATTTTTCCCTACATAAAGAACTGGAGAGTCCTTTAGAAGAAAAAAAAAATCTCTCTTTTGTGGCTTCTTTTTCTAATCAAGGGCATTATTAATAAGAATAATGACAATAATAACCTCCCTCATTGGCCGACCATTTCTCGGCTGCCAGAAAACTCTGCCCACCATCGAGAACGCCCCTGATCATGTCAAGAGTTCTCAGGGCTAAGTGCCCAGTTATCCCTGAGCCTCCCCCCCATAGAGATGTGGATGGCAAGATGTGGCCAAGGCTGTGGTTTTTTTTAAAGCCTCTCCCTTTTCTGGTACAAGATGTTCCCATTCTCTCTGCAGCTACGGTGGGACATTCATCCTTAACTCCACAGCCTTGGGGGTCTTGAGTTTAGGTGACAGCGAAGAGGTAGCTGGTTTAATTTCTTATTTGGGGCAAGAGACCCCCCTCCCCAAAGCCATCCCCCCCAAGCTTCCCCCTAGAAGAGGGGCCAAATGAAAGCTGAAAACAGATGGCAGAGAACGTGGGATCCTCGTTGACCCGAAGCAGATCCGGCTGCATTCTAGCTGACCTTTCCTTCTCCAACTTTCTCCCTTCCGGTCTTCCCCCAAGAGTTTGCAGGGCCTAACGGGCACCCCTTTGGTTGCTGGCAGCCCCATCCGCCACGACAGCGCCGTGCAAGGCAGTGCGGTCGAGGTGCAGACCTACCAGCCGCCATGGAAAGCTCTCAGCAATTTCGCCTTACAGAGCGACTTGGATCAGCCTGCCTTCCAGCAACTGGTAAGAAGATCCTGAGAATCCACCCCATAACCGGAGGGCAGGGAGGGGAGGGGTGGGGAAGGTGCCCTTTTGTTGCATTGCCACCTTAATCATCCCACTCATCCCCCAGGGCTTGGTTCCCTATCTCTGGCTGCATCAGTCACCTCCCTGGATTCTTTGTGAAGAAAAGGGGAGAATATATGGGAGGATTCTGCCCTCCTCTCCATCTCACTGCTCTCTCTCTCTCTCCTCTTCCCTCCCTTCCCCCACCCCCCCAAAAAAAATCCCGGCTGTGCATTTGAACTATGGAGCCCAGCCCTGGGAAGGACATTTTCCCCCACCACCCCGCAATTGCGTTTGGGAAGACAAAAGTGTCGTAAAATACGGCTTGCGGAATGATCTTGAGTGCAAAATATTTGTCAAAATATTGGCTGCGTAGGGAGAGAGAGAGAGAGAGAGAGAGAGAGAG